GATTCCTGGGGTATATTATTATTATTATTATTATTATTATTATTATTATTATTATCTGTCAGATGGTTTCCTGGTGATTCCTGGGTAGTATTATTATCATCATCATCAATGTTATTATTACTATTTCTGATGGAAGTTTCTGGAGACTTTGGCTTTGCATTCATTTGGGGCCTTTTGGCCAGTACCTTCAATGCACCTTTCACGTTTTCCTTCATGACCTCTGACTCTTCTTATTTTTTCTCTTGGAAAGCCATTTGGCTATAATTCAGGGCCTATTTTCAAAGCTCCCCCCCTTTCTCTTTTGTTATTCCCCTGAAATCAAGGATAAGAAGAAAAACGGCTGGAGATGATCAAATCCTATGAATGGAAAACACTCTTCTTAGTCCGCTGGGTGTGCTTTCTTTGAAAGTCCGTTCAAATCACTCTCTTTTTTCCTTTTAAAAGAGTTTAGGATTGTTCTTCTTGACCAGAGAGGTTTCCACACACGATTTTCTCCCCACTGTCAGTTCTGGCTGCAGTGGTGACTTTCGGAGGCATGACTTGGATGCTCAGAAAGGTTCGTTGACACTTGATTTTAGGGTTTGTTTATTTATTTCTTCTCTGCTTCTTTCTTAAGAAGCACTCACTTTTCTGGTCAATACTGTAGGTGGAAAACAGGTGTTTTTTTTTTTTTAAACATATTTTCATTTTGATTTTAAGGAATGTGGACAGAGAAGTTGGGTTTTCATTCGTTCAATTGTGGCACATTTTCCTCTTTCTTCTAATTCACTTTCTTTTAAAAACACACATACACACAAACTGTGTTCATGGTTAAACACTTTTCCTCCCTGGCCCTCCCCTAGTTCACTCTGCAAGGCACCGCTTATTCCGGATTGAAATGCAGACAAGAAAGAAACGAGCAGATTTCCAAGGTGCCGGTGGGCTGGTTCCTCCAAGAGCCAGGGTTCTGTGTACAAATGTTGAAATAAACTCAGTGGCAGTCATCTGACGGAGTCTTATCCACCCCTTAAAGAGATGCTTTCGGGGAACGCTGCTCACACATTAAAAATGATGCAAAGTTAATAAAAATGTTTTTTCTAAAGGACTGTTCTCCAAGCCAAGTACCAGCTGGCATCTCCTCCCAGCAGCAGTTGCAACCTTGAGCACGGGCTGCAGACAACAAATGCTGGTGAGGTTTTAGCACAGCTGAGAATTCTTGATTCACTGCTGGTGAAATGGCCTTTCCTAAAAGCATTTCCTCCTCTGATCATCTGAAGGCACATTTTCAAGGAGTGTTTTTGGAAAAGGAATAGGGAATCTATTTCCCGTCCTGCAGAAATTAAGCTTTTAAGCTAAGGGTTCTCCTTTCAAAAAGGGATTTTCAAAATATTTATATAATATTTTATATCTTTATTAGATATAAAATATTTTCAGTGCATTTAGAACGGCTTTGACAGGTCATAGTCAATTTCTTCTTCTTGTCCTTTGACTCATACTGTTATCAACGATTATATTTACTTTGTGGTTTAAATCAGGGCTGGTTAGAAGGGAAGTTGCAGTCAATAAAGCTTGTTCTTTTTTATAAAAAAAAAAAGCAACCAACAAGCCACACTGAAACAATGAATGAATGGAAACCCAAAATCTCTGTAAATGTTCATTAAAATTATTTTTTAAAACCCTCAGAAAACAACAAACGAATGGAAATAAAATCTGTGGTACGTTCACACAGTGGAATACTATGCAGCACTGAAAAAAACAAACTTGTAAACCATGGCAGAACCCAAGGGAGCCTGGAGGAGGCCATGATGCGGAGTGAGATATCTCAGTCACGACAGGACAAAACCTGCAGAACCTTTCTGTTCTGCAACAGGCTTGACTCTGCAGGAGGCGGTGGGGAGAGAATGTGAAACGTGTGGATAGAAAATTCACACTGCGTTGCATCAGATGAGGGGGAGGACTGGCTGAAAGGAAGATAGAATTAGATATTATGAGTAAGACAGGAATCTGGAACAAGGGGTGCACGGCAGGGGACTGGGGAAAGAAAACAGGCAATTATAAATTAAAAAATAACTGGTGCATGTTTATAAAAAAAGGCCTAGGAGAACAGCACTGTTATAAAAAGGTAAGAAAAGGCTTATCTGTCTGTCTGTCTATC